TGCCTCTTGGAAGTGGAAGTTCTGGTTCCTGATAAATTTTCCTCTGACACAACTAGCTTCCAGTCTGGGAAGCACAATCCAGCGCATAACATTTGAAATCTTCCTGATCTCTTCCCTATATCTCACTAAATAGCAAAGAGTGTTCCTGAGGCCTTATTAGCGCCTGCATGATAATGAAGTTGGTCTCATATCTTTGTATAAGTCGTTGGTTGCTCATTTCCCGTATAATTTTCCTCATTGGTTATCACGCTAAAGTAATGTACGGTTTTGGTAGCTTGATTGCTGTGATACAGGGTTTATTATTATCTGAGGGTCCTGATGAACAACAAGGTGAACAAGAGTTAACAGTGCTCCCTGGCAGCAAAGAAGGCCAGGGGCAGCCTGGGCCACATTAGAAGGTGATCCTTCCCTTCTACTCAGACACTCCTGCAGCACTGGGGCCACTTCTGGGCTTCTCAGTGCAAGAGAGAGATGGACATACCGGAGAGAGCCCAACAAAGGCCCACAAGGATGAGGAAGGGACTGGAGCATCTCTCCTATGAGGTAAAGCTGAGATAGCTGGGACTGCTCAGCCTGTAGAAGAGCAGGCTCAGGGGGATCTTATAAATGTGTACCAATACCTGATGGGATGAGTAAAGAAAACAGAGCCAGATTGTGCTCAGTGGTACCCAGTGCCAGGACAAGAGGCACTGTGTTCAATGTGAAATACAGGAAATTCCATTTAAATGTAAGGAAAAAAAACCCAAACATTTTTACTATGAATGTACTCAAATGCTGGCACAGGTTGCCCACAGAAGCCGTGGAGTCTCCATCCTTGGAGATATTCAAAACCCAAGTGGACATGGTCCTGAGCAACCTGCTGTAGGCGGCCCTGCTTGAGCAGGGGAATTGGACTAGGCAGTCTCCAGAGGTGCTCATCAACCTCAGCCAATCTGTGGTTCTGTGATTATATGAATGCACAATACATATTTTGCGACTGAAGTATCAATGTATCTATAACAAAGGCTTGCATTTTTTCACTTCAGTAATATTCATTTATCATAAGTATATTACAGCTTACAGGCTTAATCATAATAAAGGAAAACTTTGTAATTATTTTTCTGCATTAAGAAATACCAGACATTGTACCCAAATGTTCGTTAGTGAGAATAATTGACTTTGTAATAATCTTGTTATCCACCCAGAGCTAGGATGGAAGTACTTAATTTTTTAGCTACTCACTCTCAGTGATGTACAACATGTTATCTTGGCCTGGTGGTCTTGTAAGGGGATGGAGGTGGAAAGGAGGGTTATGGGCTGAAGAAACCAATGTGGAGGGGCGTGGACTGTTTCTGGGGAAGCCGCTTAGGGGATGGGAGAGTCTTTTGTGGCCTTCAGCCTCCCGAGGCGGGAGACGCTGGGCTCCAAAACCAGGGGAGAAGCTGGCGAGAAGAGAGGCAGCTTCTCCTCTCCCTTGCGTGTGGGAACTGCTGGCGGGTGCAGGCTTGCCAAGTTTGCTGCTGCTGGCTCCTTGCACTGGGAGCTCGACCAGGAGGCTGTTTATTCTTGTTCCAGCTTCGAGCGAGAGCCCTGGCCTTTATGGAGCTGCAGGAAGCAGGCTGTGAAAAGCATAAAGTTTTTGCTTCCAAACTTTTGTACTCATTTATACCGTTCAGTCTATGTTTTGCATTCTTTCTGGTTTTTTCGTTTCTCAAAGTTTAAGTGTCTCTTTTTCCTCATATGCACATTTCATTTCATCCCATTCATGCCTGAAAAATATCTAAGAATATTTCTGGAGGAGACTCTTGCATTTTTACCTTTCAGAAAAACTCTTAATTTACATGGCCAGTATTTTCTAGCATGAAGTCTAATACTTTTTTTTTAATCCATATTTTTTGGACTGATGAAAATTGCTTGGCATTTGTGGCATTAACTTGTGATCCACAGTAACTAGCAGACTGTCAGTCTTTCACTGCCTTACACCTTTCACCTAAAACGGTGGAAAGCAAAGCTTTAGTGTGAGCTGAGGAGCTATATGAATTTGTCACTCAACCTTTCTCTCCTCCTCTTTCTATTCACTCCTTGCCAAAGCAATGATACTCGTGCCTTGTCTGCCACGCTTATTTGGGCACACAGTAAAATAAAAGCAATTAGCAAAAGCACAGGAGGTCTGTTCAGTTGCTTTAATTGTATGTTCCTAACTAAAAGTCTTTATTTCCCATGGATTAATGCAGTAGCCTGCCCTCCCTGTGTTTTTGTGCAATATTGTTTAAGAAAGAGCGTGAGCATGCTAATGCTGCTTGGGTACGAAGCAGCAGTGCTGCCTATATGCAGATACACAGGGTTTTGGAGAGCATCAGTGGTGCTTACATTCTCAGGCAGCTCCTACTCCTCGGATGACAGGAGCCCTCTAAATCCTGATCCCATGGGTCAGCTCTGACCTGGGAAGAAGCACTCAGGGGCAGCAATGGGGCTGCAACATGAGGCTCATCTGTCTGGACTCAAACAGGGTGTTTCTGTGGAGAGTGAGAAGGAAAGTGGTCCTGGTAAGGATTCCCCTCCAACCATCACCACTTCACACCTGGTGTCTGGTGAAGAGAGGACCCCGTCTGGGAAGGGCTGTCAGTTACATGTGGTATTTCTGACATCCTCCTGCAGCACTCACAGGGCTTTTCTGTATCCTGAAGCAGCAGAGGCTGAGTAAAACTTGGGAATCTTCATCCAGGAGGAGAATGATACATTTTTTTTTTGTCATGGACAAAAATTGAGCTATGCAAGTTCTGACAGGTTTGCCATTCTTATTCTCACTTGCTGGCAATGTGTAGCCGGACAAGAAATCCTGATCATTGGGGTGTGGTTTTTTTTTGGTTGGTTGTTTTTTATTACAGCGGAGCCCCACACAATTGCTTCCTGCAATTCCCTGTTAAAGCACCATACCTTGCAGCTGCTAGCTACTATTTCTCAAAGCTGACATCTGTGTAGCTGCATGGATTGGCTACATTAAACAGTTCCTGTATTGGCCTTGTGTGACTTTTAAAATTAAGAGAACATTGAAATGTCACAATTCAAATACATGTAAATGGTACAATGGTACAGACATAGCGTTTCTAAAAGCAGATATCCTATAGAACGAACCTGCTTATTTCTGTCCATTCAGTGTAACCACCTGGTTTGTTATCATGCAGAAAAGCCAGAAATTTGACAAAATACAGCATTGCTTGCTTATAGCAGAAGCACGACTGTTTTGGCTTGAAGCCTCTGTCTTGGTTCCTCTCTGCACACCAGTAGTCAAATCTTCTTTATCTGCCTGATGATCTCCATGGGGCATCAAGTATAAAACCGCTAACCTCTTATTATCCACATCCAAGTTTGGGGTATGCAGAATAAACTAAACATTTGTTTGAAATGATAAAGGAGCTGGGGTATGTTCATGCTTCCTACTACAGAGTGGAAAGCATGTGAAAAGCAGAACAAGGCCCTAGAGCTGTTTGCTCAAATGATGCTGGAAGCCACAGTAAATGAAGTTACAGCACTACAGCTTGAAATGCACTTCTGTGCCTGGCTTTTTTTCTCAGCATGAGAACACTTCTTTTAGGCTCTATCAGCCACACTTTTCAGTTTCCCCATCGATAAAAATGTAGGGGATATTTCCCTGCTTCCTTGGTAATATACCATCAGAGCCCTAGCAGAAATACCAAATTTAACATAAATGAGGTTATGCTGCACAACTCCCTCCATCATCTCTCGTAATGTTTTCACAGCATGTTAGCACCAACCCTCAATTTTTATTTTTTTTTCTTTTCTCTTGGCTTGCTTACCACTTCTAAAATAGTTTGAGGCCAGCGCTGGGCTCCACGGGTTTGTTGGCGTAGCTGTGTCAGCTTGGATTGTGAAACATCCACCCCCTGGCCAAGGCTGCTGGGCTGGCAGCGTGGTCAGGGCTCAGCTCGGTCGGCAGAGGTGCCTAAATTCAGAGGCAGCGGTTCTCTCATCTTTTGTGTCAGCCTGCTGTGCTGTGTTTGAAGCAAGTAGCGTATTTCCAGTCTGCTTTAAGTCACTTGTATGCTACAGATAGAGAAAATGCGGCACTGACACCAACTAAAATATTTATATATGTGTGTGTTTGATATGAAGTGAGGAGATTTTCCTTTAGCTGAGTTGCACTTAGGGAAGCAAGCAGTGATGAAACAGTAGCCTAAATAATTTTTAATAGTTTATCTTAATGCTTATTGAAGTTGGCACATGTAGCTTTGTAAAGAGGATGTTTCTGTCTGCATTTGGTTTTTTGGGGATATTTCTCAATGTCACACGTAACGCTGAGAACTCAGATGACCTGAATTTTTACCATCCAATATGAGAGATACTACAAAGCTTCTGCTAAGGGCTCTGGCTGTTGACAGTGAGAGATCTTCTCATCTAATGTGTCAGCAGTAAAGAAGGTTAGTGGGACGCTGGAAAGCTGCTTTCTTACCCAGTGAGATGCTAGGCTCTTTTAGTGATTTCAGTAGGTGATGTTATCACATTTCCCTGTATATTAGACAAAAAAAGGATCCTGGAACTGGTTGGCATTGTTACTAAAGCAAGAAGTATCTCCACGTTTATTTTTTTTCCCTCCAGTGGATCACGTCCAAATCACAGGTCTAGTAGTCCACAATCAGAAATATTTTGTACCATTGTTGTTACTTTTGCACACAAAGAATGCTCCTGTTACCTGAGATTTGACCTTGGCATGAATTTGAAGTTGCCATTTCTGAGAGACAGAAGAGGTCTTCTAACTGAAACTTGAAACATGAAACGTATTGACTTATTTTTAACTCCGTATGAAGACCTGGACTTTTATGCAAGGCAGATTTGCCCCATTCAGCAGATTCTTTTTAAGCTCCAGGTCAATAGGTTTGAAAGATGGATGAGTTGAATTGAACCATTTTGGGGTTAGGATTAAACAGAAAAAGTGTTATTTTAATGCTTATATTGCATTATTTTGCAAACATGCTTTTTTTTTCTCTGTTCATTTCCCACAGAAACGTTCCAGAGGTCAAGTGCTATTTGACAAAGTGTGTGAGCATCTGAACCTTTTGGAAAAAGACTATTTTGGGCTAACATACAGAGATACAGAAAACCAGAAGGTAATCCACAAAACTGCGGTTGGCCTTTGGCATGTGGACATCAGAGCTCCCCGAGACACCCTCCATACAGTTGCAAACAGTCCAGAAGTTGTTTTTATCTTCCTTTCCAAGTTCCATAGACATAGCTTGAGCTTTTTTTTTTTTTTTCTGTAACTCTACTTATTGAGAACATCCCCTCTGTTTCACTGGATTCCTCTGTGTTGGCTATTTACGACATGAAAGAAGTTAATCATGTAGCTGGTTCTCCTTCTAGTATGATTTATTTCATTACTGCCATAGGTGAAAGTCAGATTTATGTTCATAGATACACTGCTAAACTTATAATATTAAAATACAGCTTAATGATACTATGGTAGCAATACAGATAGGCAGCAAGTTGATTGACTGTTCCTGCTACCTGCTGAGATAAAGTAAGGCTTTAAGTCATGACTTGCTTTATCTGAGTGTTATTGTTGATTTGGCTAAAGACATAAGTCTTCAGAAGCAGTTGGCAGCAATAGTGAATCACATTCTGCTTGTCTGCATCTCAGCTTCGGTATTAAATAAGCTGTGTATTACCAGAATCCAAGATGATCTAATGTGCAGGTGATATATATATTGTTTTGGACATGTTATGACAAAAGGAGAGTATCAAAGGATAATTTAAAATGTGCTGTGTGGTTTTAGCATTTTAAGATAAATATTTTGAAAGAAACCAGTAACAAAACTTCTTAGCAGTATGTGCTGTAGCCCAGCAGAGCTCACCAAGTGAAGGTATTTTATGTGTTGTGTGGCCTGAAAGGTCTTCCCCAAGGAAGCTGGAGCTGTTACTGCTTCTTCAGCTGTTTATATCTTGTGAGAACAACAGTTTTGTTTTCTAGGCTTCTCTTTGTTTCAGTTATATATGATACAAAATAAATTAGTTCTTTTTCTTCTCTTTTTCCCTTTCTTTGTAGACTTCTAAATATAAGGATTTTGTTTTTGATCCAGAAAATCACTTAAGCAGACTCTTGGTCCATGTCAGTGCAAGATGACACTTTACCATGTGCTTAGTTTTGAGTTGTGGTAAAAGTTAGACAGATGTTTAAGTCCATTTCCAGATAGGTGTGCTTTCCTTGTATTGCAAAGAGTATAATATATTTAACAGGTGGTTTATAAGTACTAAACATTTCTAGATCACCAGTTACTTTACAGAGCTAAACCACTAAAAGAATACTGCCTGCCACCACATTTATTGATCAATAACATGCATATTTTTAATATCAAAGTACTTAGCAATTCACCTCCATTCTCTGTCAGTAACTCACAGCCAGACAATATATGTGCCCACATCACATGTCACCTTTGAAAACAGAAATCTTGATGCATCTTTAATTTCTTGGTGCATAGTGTGCTTTTGTGCTCCACAATAGCTGGAGCTCTTCAGGCTCGATTTTGCACCACAGACCAGGTTTGGACAGCTGCAAACTGGTTGTTTTTGTTGGGAGATGATTGTTGTGTTCTGCTTGTTTGATATTTCTTTAGTATTTTTTTTTCTCTGATAGATTTGTTTATCTTTCTTTGGAGAAAGTGGAACTTTCCTAGGGGAAGCGAACTGTTTGTTCTGGGCTTTGTGATGCATTTTAAATATTAATTTGATTCTGTTAGAGGACAAGACAGAGGCAGCCTTAAGAGACCCCAAGCTGCTGTGCACCTTCTCTGAGGGAATTCCGTCTGTTCCTTGGCGGCCATGGAGTAGTAACATATCACAGTGATAATTCCCCCCCTCCTTAGCAGGAGTTTTGCGTAGTCACTGGTCTCTGCACAGCATGAATGAGGGCAGCCCCAGTGCCGCGGTTCTGCCATGGTTTCACCACGCAGTCCCTCTGCCTCCAGGGAGCCCCTCTGGGTTGCAAATGGGGTAGTAACCAATGCCACACTTGCTTATCCTTCTCAGCCCTTCCAGGATTAGAGCAAAAAAAAAACCAATCAAACAACAACAACAACAAAAAAAACCCCTTCTTAAGGAGCTTGTAGAAATTTAATTTTCCCAGAAGATACTCTGGAAAAAGGTTTCTGTGGATTTCTTTTACTAATTTTTTTATTTTTTATTTCAATCCATTCAGCCTCTCAGTGCCTGGGAAGGTTAATAAAAATCCTGCTTCTACCCCAGACCACATCTTGAAAGTTACTGTTATCCCTGCCTACTGCTGCTCCAAGGAGAAAGGGGTGGCAGACTTTCATATGTTCTAGCTTTAACTCATAGCACTGTTGTAAAAATAATGTTTATTGTGCTTTCTGAATCAAATTGAAAAAAGGAAACATTTTCTTTGCAGAATTGGTTGGACCCTGCCAAGGAAATCAAGAAGCAGATCCGAAGTAAGTGTGAGACACAAAAAAATGTGTCCCTCCAAACTGCTATCGGTGTTTGCAAAGGCATTGGACCCCTGTGGTGCCGAGTAGGGGTGGGAGAGGCAGCGGGGTTCATGTCGAGGGCACTGCGTGCCCCTCACTGCCCAGCCCCCTGATCCTCTGGGCTTGTTCCTAAACCACTCAGGTTTAGGGCACCTCGCTGCTCTTGGGTCAAAGGGCCCATCCCACCAGGCTGCCCCCAGCTCCGGGGGCTCAGCAGCCCACTCTCCCCAGCCCCACACCCCAGCCTATTTCGCGTTCTTCTTTTGCATCCTGTCCCGAGTTCCTGGCACAGGAATTACCTGCCTGTTTTAGGTATTTTAGTCCATAATGAGTGCAGGCCGTTACAGAGGCTCCTAACATGCAAACTTGCGTTGCTGAAAACAACTTGACATTTGCAGAGATGCAAAAAAACTGAAGTTTGACATTAAGCAACGTAACCTTGAGGACTAGGCCATGTATATAAATTATTTCTTTGCGTTACTGATATTTATATCATATCCAGGAACGCTGCTTGTGCCCCATACTGAAATACTTCACTGGTACAAGGATAGCGCTCTGTCTAAATATCTTTCCTTCCTGCATTTCAAAAGCTTGAACTTTGCTCCTAAAATGGCCATTCAATTCACAGAGAGCTAGTCAATTTTCTGCTTCACATGAATATTTTAAAAAGCTTGGTTGTTAAATTTAGCCGTCTGCTGCGTTAGAAATTCAAAAACCTTTCAAAGGAAGACCGTGTCAAGGCTGCCAGGCTCAAAATTTGACCTGCTTTTTTTTTCCCTTTCACGTTTTAAAATTGATCAAATGTTTGTGTGGGTGACTTTTTTTTTTTGCAGGAAAACCTCAGTAGTTTTTTTCTTTGCATGTTTTGTAAGTCATCTCCTATAGCAGTTGTGCTTTCACAAGCAAATACATCTGGTAGTTCACATTTGTTGGGTCAGGCCTGGCAGATGAATCATTTCCCTCTCCAAGATTCAAAGGGTTAATTTACACTGTCTGGAAAACTTCCTCACTTAATATGTCCAACCACATCTTTTCCACCAGTAGTATTTTAATTGAAATCAAGTGATCTGCAATAGAAAGGAAAATCTGCCTTTTTTAAAATCTCTTGAGAATATGAGTCTGGAGAGGAAGGTGCTGTAGACCTCAGTGAGTCAGGTTACACTGATGGTCAATGCAAGTAAAGCGGCTCAGCTCCAACCGCTGATTTGAAATGCATTAATATGTGCCCAAGCCATGAGACAGACAATGAAAGGTTGTGACAGCAAGGGATTAACGGGTGCAGAAGAGTCTTGTCCTGGACTTGACATGGAGGACAGTTGTATTTGTAGAAGATGACAGCGATAATTTGCTTGCTCTGTACAATTCACCCTAGAAGTTTGGAACAGGGCAACAGTGGAAAAGTAGAGCTTTTACACCTTACACTTTCCATGAATGGCTAAAAAAATAATATATATAAGCATATATATAAAAAAATCCTGCTAAATGCTGATTGAGTTGTGCAAAATTCAGATATCTTTGATTCCACTGCAGACCCCAGGGATTTCATCCCAGTGGTTGAGAAATTAGGCTGTTGCCATGTGTGTGTACCCTGGTTTGCACCGCGTTAGTTACAACCTGCTAACTTGCGCAGTTATCTTTTCTTTAAACCCCTGTAAGTGAGAGGAGAAGGCCTTTTACTCTGGTATCTTAACTGGCCATGCTCCCAAGCGGTATATGATAGCTTGATTGGCTGTGTGTGTGCCAGAGGCACAGATTTTCAGGCCGTGGCCCCTTCTCTCCATCGTGGGCCCTTCTCTCCATCGTGGGCCCAGGCATCACCCACAGGCTGTGCTCCCACCTCAGGGCCGGTCTGCTGCCTGGTGGGACCGTACTCCATCCTCATTTCTGACCAAATGTTCCTTCCACTGGCATTTGTGGCACAAGAGAGTAGAAAAGTTTCTAAAATGAAGGAGCCCAAAGGTGTCATCAAGAGCCAAACTCCTGACAGTAAATGTCGAAGTCTTCTCACACATTGAGCCTCTTTTCTTGGGTGCACAGATGACCAAAGGGGATGGGGCTTTGCATGGGATGAAATTTACTTCTTGTCTCTAAATAAATACTCCCAAACACCCCGTTAGGACAACCATACAGTATTTCCAGGCAAGTGGACATTCACTCTGTCCAGCATATGAGCTTTTTTAGCAGAGAGCATACCAGATACACCTTCAAACCCCATGCTCTTTAGGGGTACACCTACGCAGAAGGTGCCCCTGCGTTTCAGGTCATGGGAAAGCCCTAACCCTGCAGGGATTGTAAGGAAGAGTCCTGTCTTTCACAGTGTTCACGAGCACTTTCAAATTACACAGCCAATATGGGACTTTTCAGGAGAGAATTTCATTTATTTGTGGTTAGATTTGTAATTTCAGATCAGTGTGTTTCAGAAAACAGAAGTGCCATTACTTTGACTTTGGTTTCTTGACTACAGAAATACTGTAATTTATGTGATAGAAGTATGTATAAGAGGTAGATCCCACAATAGAGGCCTTGGTGAAAAGTCCTGTTCCTGGAAATCCATTGTGTTGCTTGTTAGCACACTGTGGTTTGGGGGTTTGTTACTGCTTTTTATTTGCATTTGGGACATGCACTGGTATAACCTGTCCCATTTTTCAGAACAGCTTTTATATTTACACACCATGTTCAAGTCTTTCTTTATATTTAGTCTTGTTATTCTTTCTTTACAACATTTGAAGCTAATGCTCCAAAAAAAATTTCACAAACTGTGGTGACACATATCAGTTTCCATCCCATGGGTCACCTGAAACTGAAATAACTAAATAAGAATTCCCTAGTGTTATGTACTGTTTTTCAGTTGTGCTCTCTGTGTTTGTCCTTGCAGTTTTGTCTGCAGAATAATTAATGTTGCTGTAGACAGGAACTATGTGCTGAGGCAGCACTCTGAGAGGATGCTCTGAGCTGGTTTGGGCAGCCAGACCTCGACTCATCACCCTGCTCCACAGCCCATTCGTACTCTGGCTTGTGGTATTTTCACTGCCTCTGTGTTTTGGGTTAGTGGTTTTTAAATCTTGTATAGGCTGTGTTTTCAGAAGGCTAATTCCAGTAAACAGTTTTTGGACTGAGAGGTTTTTTAGCATTGGTAATAAATTACTGCTCCCTTAGGGTCCTGGCCTCGGTGGAAATTTACGAAGTAAGAAAAGAGCTGTAAAGTCAGATCTAGTACTGTAACTGTGAGAGGGAAAAGTAGTATTGTCAGAATGATGTATGGGGAAAAGATTCTATATCCTGTTCTTATGAATTGCTTGGCTAGGGTATTTTTAAGTCTGCTGGTAATTGAACAGCATGAGCATCTCTGTTTGCACTTACAGCATACTTTCAGTCAACCTGTGTTCTTTTCCAGGTGGCGCTTGGCAGTTTGCATTTAATGTGAAATTCTACCCTCCAGACCCCGCCCAGCTTTCTGAAGATATTACCAGGTGTTTAAAACATTAAATACCTTTCTAGCATGGGCTTAAAAGCTGTTTGCAGTAGCACTTGCACTCTAATTATCCAAGAAAAGGGATGTTTTGTATTCCCATTGGCTGCCTTATATAATATACAAAGCTTTGGCAGAAAAGACGTTGTGAACAGTGTCTGTCGTTTAAGCTAAGAAGACTTTTTCATTTCTATAATTTAACCCTAAAACCAAGCTCTTCTAACATACATATTCCTGAGAGTTGATTTTAATTTTCACAAGGATGCCTGGTGCTTAGTTTTGCCAGTGGTAACAAATTATTATTGTCAGTAAAATAATAACTATGAAAGGAAAGAAGTGGGATGAGAATAAGCAAGCATGTAAATTTTGTATGTCATTTGACGAGGTAAGCGGTTGATGTACATGGTACAGGGAATACAATGGTAATGAATGGCTGCTCCCTGCTATCCAAGTCAGCTCTGCAATCTGCGCCTCTGCTCCCTGGTTTTGCAAACACAACTGAAGAAAAAAACCAAAACACCTCACCTGGTTTCCTTCCTGGTATAAGGCAAGAAAACCTTGGAGCCATGATGAGTTTTATGCCATTGACAAGCCACTCACTAGCCTGTTTTAGCGTTTTGCAACCTGTGGATATTTTTAACCTTTGTTGCTTTGTGGACTACCTGATGCTTTTAACGTAGCATGAAGCCTTTGGCTTAGATCAGACTTCCCTGTGCTCAGATTTGTGCAGAAACACAGCATGCCAAGAGTTCACACTTCAAGAGCCATCTTCCAAAAGAAAGGATTGCCTTTTTCCTCATGTTGTCCTCAGATCTCCCCTGGTAACATTGTGCCTTTACCACCAAGCCAGTGTTCTTCACTTTTTTTCTGTTTTCTTTTATCTGGTGACCCCTTGCGCTGCTTATCACCATAGTTTTAACAGCATTTACTGTTTAAATGTGTTTTTAAGAAAGTTCAGCAGTTTGCTAGAGAGACAACTAAATGTTTTTTTGAATGGCTTGATGTTCAGCTACTCTTTAGTGAACATTATTTGGGGTTTTTAGTTACTTTTTCTCCTTAAAGAAAAGAATTATCAGGTAGCTCTGTATCTTAGTGATTTATGATAGAAACCTGGTATGTTTAATGGATAATTCTCCATCTAGGTCACTAAACAAGTAAAAACCTATTTTATTAAGAAATTTCTGTGCTGCTTTATAAAGATAAATTAGGCGTTGCTACCCATCGGTTAGGCAAGGTTGGGTGTTTTTTTTTCCCAAATTGTTATTATCCTTGTTAACACCTGAAAAACTTCAGGCTTGGGAGTTGTCTGCAAATTATTCAAGGAGCCAAGGCCTCTTTCTGGTCCTTGGGCAGCACTCCTTTGGGGACAGCAGTAGAGGAGCACTTTATGAGCTGCCTTGGTGCTCCATTGCAGGTACTACCTCTGCTTGCAGCTGAGAGATGACATCGTGTCGGGTCGACTGCCCTGCTCGTTCGTCACGCTGGCCCTGCTGGGCTCCTACACTGTGCAGTCAGAGCTTGGCGACTACGACCCCGATGAGTATGGCAGTGATTACGTCAGTGAATTTCGCTTCGCGCCAAATCACACTAAAGAGCTGGAGGATAAAGTGATTGAGCTGCACAAGAGCCACAGGTAAGTGGAGGGCATCAGTGCAGGCTGTAGCCTGCCTTCAGATACATCCTAGTACATCAGGAAATGTTAAAACCTGCTACAGTATACCTGATAAGAATATTTTTCGGACAAGACTCCTCTCTGTGTCTTTGGTTAGAGAAGAGCTTTGCAGCATGAAAGATAACAGGGTCTGCACCAGAGCTTTGGCTCCAGTAGGTACCCAGCCATCTGAGGGCTATGGCTGTAGTTCTAACAGGCTGAAAGTGTTTTCCAGGTGCTGGGTTTTATTTCAGTCTTGGTTTCCTTAACATTGATACTAGAATTGGTTGGTTTTCCTCAGGGGAATGACACCTGCGGAGGCTGAGATGCATTTCCTGGAGAATGCCAAAAAACTATCAATGTATGGAGTAGATCTCCATCATGCCAAGGTATGGACTATAGTTCTTTCACCAGTCATCCTTTTCCTGTGCCATAGTACTTGAATCTCCATGGGCTTCCTGATTTATTCTTTATTGTTGTTTTAAGATGGACATTTTGTGGGATAAATTATATGTCAACATGAGGAAAGGTGACTCATGGGATAAGCATAAATATGTCTTGTAACTGTAACATAACCTAGCCTATAGATTCAAAGAGGTTGCACATCAACCTTTCATGTTGATTAAAGAGCCAAATCCTTTGGGAATATATTGAATGAATAGAGTAATGAGAAAGGATATTAGAAGCTGCCCAGAGAGTGATCAATTGTTATTTAGTTCAGCTACAGTTTCCAATTTGATAAGGCCAACTATGGTATCTTAAATAGGTAAGAAGATAATTTCTAATACTGCAGAGAACTTTCAAGCAATTATTTAGTCATGATGGAGACCTAATCAGATTGATAGTAATGGGGAGACAGCAGCTTGTCTCTCTCCTGAAGTGTGGTCCTTGCAGTTGACTGGAAGGGCAGCAATTCTTCAGGAAATGTTCTCCGATGATGTAGTTTCTTTAATCATCGGCAGGTTAAGTTATGAATAAAACACAGCAGTCATTCTTACTGTAGCTTGGGAGAGCCTTGTGTTGGTTGTCTGTTTTTATGGTTTGTTTTTTCTTTTTCTCCAAATAAATAATTACAAATTTTTAGTTCACTCTTCAAAGTAAGGCTAATAGATTTTTAAAATCTTTGAGGTTAGCAAGCATCTTAGGCAAATGAGTGCTGAACAAAGAATCCTGATCTGTGGAGAGTACTGCGTTTTCTGTAAAGGTCAAATGATTGTGAGACTGTTTTTATGCTGCAGAAAATCCTTTCAAGAACGAAGATGAATTTGCAGCTTGGATCTTGAAAGGGCCTGCAACTGTGTCCCTGGGACATTTTGCAGGAGCTATGCATGTGTGTTACAAAATTCAAGGCAATCTTTTGTGTTCTGTTAATTGCCTTCACTGAAAATGAAAAGTCTGCATATGGCTCTATGGGCAGCACTCTACGAGGAGGCATGCCCCTGCTTTCCCTGTGTCTTGCAGATAGGCACAAAATCTTGAGTCACTTTTGGAGCAGAGATAGTAATGGACTAGCAAATGCCAGTCACTAGCTTTTTTCCCAGCATCCTCTGTCCAACACAAAGAAGTCTGCAAAACAGCAACAAAGCGAGTTCCTGTTCTAAAGACGTTCCAGGCTTCATTACTGAAAATTTAATGTAGCATAGCATTAAGGCCTAAGTACTTTTTTCAGAATGTTGGAGAAAGGCTGTGAAATTTGAGATAGGGTATCCTGAGATAACAACTTTATTTTTCTTCTAAAAAATATTATCATCCAGTTCTACTCTTCTGTTTTTCATATGGAAAGATTCAGAGCAAGAGAAGTTGGTAGACAAGCTGATCTTTCTCTAAAGTGATGTTCTTAGTTTAAAAAGCTGCTGTGCTAACTGAATTGGGTCTGTCTGTGGGTTAAGAAGTGCAACAGTAATCCTGGAAATTGAGCTGAAGGTGGGAAAAGTAGACTCTGTGAGAAGTAATGTTTAGTTTTAACTAGGTCTGGCAGTGAGATCTGATGGTATCAGGCTAGGGGACAAGTATGTCTGTGGATGCCTTTTCTGAAGTCATGCAGTGGCAGATGTCTCTATGTAAATGTCAATTCATTAAGGCTGTGCCAGTGTCTCAGGTATTCAACAGATGCTGGACTCACCAGCTGCTGTTAAAACTAGTTCTCAATTATCCAACACAAGGCTATGATAAAAAATGTGTTCAAATAGAGAGATGTGTCCTCTGGGCTGTCACTGCTCTGATGAAGCCCCCCATTCATGTGCAGAGCTGCAGGGATGTGCAGCTCACGTCTCATGCCTCTGACGTTACAGCTAACAGTTTTCTGTTCTGTACAACCACATCACTCCTGAAAAAAAGCCAAATTCTTTTATTTGGGTTTCATTTTACACCAGTAGTATCACATTGAAAAGCAGTCTCTGTCACTGACAAGTAGCTGAAGCTGTGAATGGACTTAGATCTGCTGCAAAGGTGGGGATGAGGGAAGAAGGCATTTCTCAACAGGTTTTTGAGAAAATATACAGAAGGAGCCCCTTGCACCTGCTGTATGTGAGCATGCATGCATTTTGGGCATTTGCCAGGCAGTGGGATTACTGGCAATGAGACTTTCTTTTTTAGAATGTGTTCACTGTATTTAGATGTTACTCTTTGCTTAGGAAACTGTGAAATTGAAGTCCACTGAAAAAAATTAGCTTTGTCTCCTCTGTAGTACCTGACGATGATATCACATGAGAGCTTTATTTAGAAAAAAATCTGCCTTTAAGGGGTGATACCATCATTGTTGGAACATACATCCCCTATTGATGTGTTTTCTAACACTGAAGTAAATGTGTGGCCATAACCCTATGTTGTATCTCTGATTTTAAAACCTTTTTTTTTTAATTTCAAGTTGTGCTGTAGCCTTTTTGTCATGACTGACCATGCATGCCTTTGTGTTCATCTTAAAATGTAATCAGATTTTCATTGCATGCCTAAAAGATGGCTTGTCTGGAATACCAGAGGAAAGTTAGGAATTCATTTTATGATTATCATAGGGTCACATCTTGATAGCTTCTGTTGTCAGATTTTTGTAACTTTAAGTTATTTTAAAATAATTACAAAATAACTATGTGCTTTAAGGTGGATCTTTCTTTTCTGCAGCAGTATTAGTACTTAGCTAAATGAAAAAAGCAGAATTATGCAGTCTAGTGGTGACAGCAAGCAGTGAAGATTGGTTTTAGACTTTGAAGGCTTCTAAAGGAAAGAGAAAGGTATACTTCTTACTTAAAAAATACACATTTATGGGTATATTCCGATAAGATAGTGGCCAAATCTTTCATAGTGCTAACGTGTCTGACCTACAGCTTCCCTGTCAAAAATGGGTTACAGCACAGGCACAGTAGCATACTTTTAAAATAATGTTTCTGGTCCAAATGTCCAACTTTCTACCCACTGGTCATTTCAAAGTGAAAATACTGAGCATAGCCACAACAACATTAAAGAACCTAGCAAACCAACTGAAGCAAAGATGAGAAAACTACGCAAGAAAAATCTATCTAAGGATTCACAAGGCTTAGTCATGGAGATGAGTGATGCTGGGAGAATTGAATTTGTATGCTGTCCTACTTACTTTCAACCTGGTATTTATGCTAATAACACTTTTTTTATTACGCTAATAGAATTTTGTTATATGGTTTTAATAACATCTAAAATTTCCCCACTCCTTTCTGAGTCTTTCTAAAATATAAGGAAACATTCCTCACACTCAGTTTCTCTCACCCTGCCCAACCTTACTATTACTTGCATGAATGCAGTCAATGAGTAGAGTAGCTCTCAGAAATCAGGTCACTACAGCTGATGCATTAAAAAGACATAGCTCAGTTAGAAACCCAGCGTGCAAGAATCTGTAGTACTGTGGGATGTAATGAGAGAAATATCCAACAAAGTGCATTGCTTGCTTTTGCAGGATTCTGAAGGAGTGGAAATCATGCTAGGAGTTTGTGCAAGTGGTCTCTTAATATATCGAGACAGACTCAGAATAAATAGATTTGCCTGGCCAAAGGTTCTGAAAATTTCCTACAAGAGGAACAACTTCTACATCAAAATCCGACCAGGGGAGGTAAGGGCATCCTGATGCTCTTCAGTGAATGAACCTTTTCAAAAAACCCATGTTCTCATTGATTTATTGATTTGTCATGTCTTGCAAGCCCTTAACATTCCTCTCCATTTATATCTCTTAATTTGTGCTGATTTTCTTAGGAAAAAATAGGTAAATACTTGATTTAAAATACTCCTTTAAGTATTACTTATTTAAAATCTTCTTTGGTGTTTTTTTGTTTACATCCATGAACTAACATAAAGAATAAATATGGCCATCTGCTTGTAAAAAGCTCATCCATATTATGAATACTTTGGGAATTTAAGTAACATATTGCTTATTCATGTAGTGCTCATCATTAACCGTCATGTTGTATATTAAATTAGTATCTATTCATCTTACCCAGTAAGAAATGTAGACAGGCCATACCAAATTTTGTAAGTGTCTCAGACTAGTAAATTTGGAGTCTGGGCAGAAATCTGGAGACTGATAAAAATGGAATCAAGCATCCATCATTCGGAGGTTTTGGTAGCTACATGCGTTAGTCCTCCCAGGCCCAAGGGAGTACGTGTTCTGGCTCTGGAGAGAGTGACATGAAATGTTGTACAGTGAGTGCCCTCTCGTGGCTCAGTCGGATGCTTAGCAAATACCTACCTCATGGGCTGAGTGTGCACCAACGCGGAAATTAGATGATAAATCTTAGCAAAAATCCCAGGAGGAGTTAAAGATCATCAGAGGCAAAGGAGTGTCTGCATTTTAAGTGCTGGTATAGTAATTGGTCTGTGACAGATGAAAAACCCATATCTATTTTAGAGGGTGGAGCTGTATAGCAGGACAGAAATCACCTGGATGAGGACTGGCGTTTTTCCCTTAGTGCAATATGGGAATTGGGAGTCCCTAGCCAATGTCTCCAGTACTGGCTTCATAACTGACTTGGAAAATCTGCTGGGGCCCACCAACGGCTGCAGGGCCTGAGCCTTTCTGAGAGTCCTAAAGAAAGATCGGCAAACCTACATTTTCTGCCTCACAGCAGACACAGTTTTAGTAACCAACTTCCTAATCTTGAGTTTGATTTTTAAAAATAAAATGAATAGCCACTGATGTTCCCAGTGCCTGCACTCAGTCTCTCCACCACTGAAGTCCTAATGAGCTCTGCTGGTCTTGGCATGTAGCATCCTGTGACCAGGTCATAGTTCCCTGTCCAAAATAATCAATGCAGTCTCTTTCCAAATCACATTTGATGATAATGTGATTCACCATCCCATGTGGCATTTATATCATCTTTATTGTTTTGCTCTTTCCTGCCTTGTTTCTCTCTGTCAGCTCTCCATAGGGATCCAAGGTTCCTTATAAGTGTTCTTCTGCCTATTTTTTCCCTGGTCACAGCACACTATTTCACCTACTTGGCTATCTGCACATAACCATCAACATGTTAGAGTGGTTGTAGTTAGTGCAGCTTTTGCATCTGGAATATAAATCTGCAGCACAACCTAGAAAGGTCTCTTAGTATCCCCAGCGGACTCTTTCAATTACCTGTTTTTTCCTCATCCTCCCCAGGAGATAAATTAGCTAAAAACACTGTGATTTACTAACTCTAGTTCTTTCATTGTAAATCTCCTTAATCTAAGGCTGTGTGAGACCAGATCGGTTCCTGGGGACTATGACTCCCCTCCTGGCTATTATCAGGCTTCCCACTGTTGTTTAAACTGGTGAAGTTAAAACAACAGTGTTAAAACGCATAAATGATGTTTTACTCAGAAGTCTCCCGAGTCTTAACTGATCTCTTTGTTACTATAGGGCATAAAATATCACTGTCACCATCAAAAACATCTTGCTCATTATCTGGGTTTCCCTCAAAAAACATCCTCAAAGGTTGCCTTTGATTATTATTCACAGCTTCCTTCCAAGACAGTAGTCTGTAGAATATGTATATATGTGGTCATATACATGAGCATATACATTCAGTCTTGCAATGAGATTATATAGATGGAGGAAATTAAGATGAACCTGTGTACACTGTCTAAAAATAGATGGACAGCATCAAATACATACTTTTTATTTTTTCCTACCTAGTTTGAGCAGTTTGAAAGCACTATTGGGTTTAAATTGCCAAATCATCGTGCTGCAAAGCGGTTATGGAAAGTGTGTGTTGAGCACCATACATTTTTCAGGTATGTGCATTTCTTTTCATAAAGGTATGATATGAAACACAACAGAAAAGACCAGTTCTGTCAGCAGAGATAAAACCCTTCAAATCAAATTGTCTTTTTGATCACAAGGTGTCTCTGAGCAGACAAGGGAAAGTTATTGCTTCTTCAAAATTTGAAATGTTTTACCCAAATTATTCATACTATTTCAGATAAATACTGAAGTTTAAAATGACCATATGGTCCCAGTTAATCAGTTTGCTTTATCTGTGCCATGATACCACCTGCTATAATTAAAGATATGAAGGACTCCACTGCACTTCTTCATGTATGCTTGTCTAGGGAGAACAACTTCTATGGAAAGTTACTGGGGGATGTGGGTAAGAGTTTGGAAAAAGAAAAAAGGAGTTTTTTATTTAATTACTGTCATCAGTGAATACCCAATCCATAGCTGTAGTTTCTGTGTTACTGAGGAGTTTTGCAGGCATGTTTTTGACATCTAAGAAGACCTGAGGAAAGTTTGGGGTAGCAGAATAAATGTTGTAATTAATTTGTGCTGAGAATAGTCAGAAAGGAGATACTTAGCAATGAGAACCCAAAAGGGTGAGATTTTCAATAGTGTGAAAGGGCGTCCAGCCCTTAAAAACTCCTCTCAAGATGTTTGGGAGGGCTGAAGACTTTCTCTCCTTGAAACTATTGTTTCGGGCTGTCTGTATGTTTATATGAAATGCAGTCTTAGTAGCAAAAGATGTAAAAAGAAACTGAGTGTGCATTTTTGGGGTGTTTTCTGATTTTTAATGGAAAAACAATGCCTAAAGCATAAACTCCATGGCAGGAGAATGGCTTCTTCAGCAAACTCCCCTAGTACAGAGGTTGGGAGGGCTCTAACCTGAAAGATGTCTGCATCCCTGTGAATGAATAGTGCCCTCGTTAACTGGAAATCTCTTCTGGCCCTGTCCTCAGCATAGTAGCACTGTCATACACTTCAAGTATAGGAGATATATCTGTATTTCAGTCCAGAACAGAGTCCGTGATAGAAGGAACGCCTTGTTATTAGTTTTGGTGATTAAAAAATAATAGATCTGATTTTCAAGCAGGAAGGGACTGAGTGATTCTTGCCTGTTAGGAAGAACTCAGCTCTTCAAACACATTAGCTGAACAGTTTTGTCATGCTGTATGAGGAGCATCCTTTGATTCCCTTTTAGCCGCAGACCCGTGAGGCAGAGGTTGTGATGGAGAGTGATATCCAACAGTCATCTTCTCTCCTCTGCAGAAATAGTGGACTGATTTTTGGAGGAGGGGGAATAACAGGTCCACTGTTTGGTGTGTTTTAGGCTCCTGCTGCCAGAAGCACCTCCAAAGAAATTCCTCACGCTGGGCTCCAAGTTTCGCTACAGCGGCCGGACACAGGCCCAGACAAGAAGAGCCAGTGCCCTCATAGACCGTCCTGCACCTTACTTTGAGCGGTCTTCTAGTAAACGTTACACTATGTCTCGCAGCTTAGATGGGGGTAAGGTCCTCTTAACTGACTTTGTCAAAAGTTATCATCACAGTGATCACTGCTTTAGGTTTAGTTACAAACTTCTTGTCATCTCATCTCTGGGAGCTTCAGCGGAGCGGAGGCTGTGAGTACTTGCACATTCACTGCAAGGTAGGGGAGGATGTGGAGAAATACTGTGCAAAATGTACTGCTGCAGGTCTTACAAAGCGTTGGCCTGGAGGAGGTCCTTGGGAGCACACTCTTTGTGGAGCCCCGCTCCTTGGTCTCACACCAACAAAGCAATTCGCCACTTTGGGGAAGGACGGGGTACCTGGACCTGCGAGCATGGACCTGCCTACCCAAGCAAGTCAGGCTTTGATGCTTTCTCAGGGTTTGCATGAGTAACTAGTTGGGGTTTGGGTTAACTTGTCTTTTTTCCCTATGTAGGCTTTTCATTTAGGTATATGTTACAATTCATAAATTAATTGTTTCCCTTAATTCCCTTGCTTCCGATTACCTCCCATCCTAATCGGATGAGTGCTAACAGGCTTTTTCCACATAGTACTTTTGAATGTGTGAGATGGAGAGTAATGCAGGTTTATAGTATATCCTTCCTCCTCTCTTTCTCCGTGGTTCTTGGAGGTCACGGTTCTGCTGCTCCCTTAGGTAAAACCAGAATATGATTCAGAGTCTCGGTTGTACAACTGCTAGTTGTAGTTTATTTATGTAGAAAAAGACCGAGACTAAATTCAGAATTGCTATAGTTTTTTTTTTAAAAAGGTGAATTCTCATGCAGAATATCACTAACAAATGGCAATGAGTATAGCTGATGGTGGGGAGGGGGAGAAGCTTTGATTTAAAAGTACCAGTGACAAGACTTCTTTTCTCCCCCTAAAGGTGCTGCTTGTCATTAATTATTTTGGAATCTTCTAATTCTGATGTGCTTCTTGCTCGTTACCAAGCAACTGGTGACCTGATTGCTGTGCATGTGTCTCAAAGCAGAAATTATCCTTCTGCATTATTTTGTTTGTAACATCTAAATAAGATGTCTCCTTCTGCTCCCTTTGCTTTCTGCCGCCTCCTAAGCTCATTCCCAAGAGACAAGATATCTGAAACCCTTTTCCCCAGCATTTGTTAGACCCTGCAAGGTTTTTATGATGTTAATTTGCATAAGTACAAATGAGGAAAAGAGTGGTTTTTAATCAATGCTTATGATTTCTTCACTAACAATGTTAATATAATGCAAACGTGGCTGTAACATTCTGCATCACAATTACCCTGTGATCCCAGCCCTGTAATTTGTTACAGATGCAAGTAACTATAAATTTGAATAGTCCTGTTGACTTTAGTCAAGAACAGAGTCTGGGTATATATTAATATTTTGATTGCATTCTATCTATAAATTTAAAATTTATTTCAAAATCATTTATATGTATTTAAGTTTGCTGAATTATTGAAGGTATACATCCTGAAATATTCTGCTTTGGTCCACTGCCATCACTTCCCAGAATTCTTTAGGATAATGAGCTCACTTAACTGGCAGACTTTAATACTCAATAATCCAAAGGTCCCATTTCTTGATTGTCTATTATTATGCCTGTGTTACATCAATATTGTCATTTCCTGCAATGCAGTGTGTTACTTACCATGCATTTGGTTTGCATTGCTATATTCTGACAGATGGAAAAAAAAAATCTCTTCCACCCCCATGGCTGATGTCATAGCTGGTTTTCCTTATGTTTCCTGCCTGATAACTGTGGCAATGCATTGAATTTTTTCTGATGTTTTACTACAGTAGCACGTTTAATGGCTTGCTAACATTTAACAACTGTGTAATGCACACATTCGTTACAGTAATGTGTGTATACACATCCATAATATATGTTTATGCATATAAAAGCTACAAGCTTTATTTCAAGTAAACAGTTTAAATGTATACACATGCTTCTGGTGGTTTCCTGAAACATGACATAGTTGTGTTTTCAGCAGTATCTCAAGTGTTTTACTAACCCAGCTTTTTAATTTTATGCAGCTTCTCAGCAAAAGCTCTTTCAGACTTTCCCTCTTTAAATATTTGCTTTTAGCATCAGTGAATGAAAACCATGAAATGTACATGAAGGATTCTGTGTCTGCTGCAGAGGTTGGTACTGGCCAGTACGCCACAACAAAGGGCATCTCTCAGACCAACTTGATAACCACTGTGACTCCAGAGAAGAAGGCAGAAGAAGAGAAAGATGATGAAGAGGGCAAAAAGAAAAGAGCAGAGGAAGTCACCCCGGTCTCGGCAATACGCCATGACACCAAGGTAGAGTTTTGAGGTTTTTGTATTAAACTGACTTGCCTGGAGAGCACTCGGAGAAACGCAGAATTGTTAGAGAGGGAGGAGATACCTAATTCAGTGAAAGGAAACTGGAATATGCGTGGTTGTATGTACGTGTATATACGTCTTGAGTCAATATTTTTCTAGTCCCTTCACATTTCGTATGATGTTATAAAAGTCAATTCCTCCCTCAGACTGTTTTTTGAAAAGCAACACTGATCAACAGTCAGCACAGTGTTTTTTACATAGCATTCAGGAGCTCTTTAGAAAATACCCAAAAGTAGCCTAGCAGTGCATATTTTGCACCTTTGGGCTTCAGGGATATTTTGGCTTTAGTATGGGCATCATGTTTTTTTATTTTTTGACAAGGCAACAAAATAGTTCTGTGATCTTGTACGTAGCTCTGTGCTTTAAACAATTGTATTTTTCTCATTTACTTCTCATAACGCTCCAATTCCTTGTACGTATTTCAATGAGCATTTTTTCTCTATTAACTTTTGGGTATTAATATACTACTATAAGCTTTCTTTTTCTGGTTTACAAAAGCATTTGCTTCCCTCATTTGAAATTTTGCATTGAAGAAAACTGGTTTTGTTGATGATTCTCTGCTCTGTTCTTAAATTTGGTTCGTCTGTCACCATCTCCAGTCCCATCACCACTGCATACACGTACACACATGGCTGTTCATTATATTTACTGAGTTATTAAGAAGGGGTAAATGAAACAGAGACACAGAGAAGATACTGAATTTCAGAGACTGATAGTGAAGAGAAGTAAGGTAGAATCAGAAAAGATTGGATGTAAAATGTCCTCTGTTTCTTTTACATTGAGGAGGAGAAAACAGAATATGAAATACTGAATCTAGGATATAATTCAAAAAGTGTACTGTGGAATGCACTTGCTAAACAATTAAGATTTACCCTCTTCACTTATGAGGAAAAACCTTGATGTATACCTTTATACCCACAAAACTGTCATGCATGCAAATGTTAGAACATGAACTTCCAGCCTTATCATATAAGGCCACATAGCTCAAGTCCTCAAAAAGACGGCAATTAAGGTACCAAAAATCATAAACATTTAATTACTGAAAATTGCAGATGAGAATATATTTTCTTTTGAAAGTGTGCGCTGTAATTGTAGCGTTAAAAAAATAATCTCTGTAAAATTTATCTGGAGTCTTCTTGAAACTCTATTAGTTTCTTCATGGAGAAACATTGATGAAAATCAAATATGCAGAAAATTTCCAATAGAAACTAATTCTGTTCCAAGTGTTTGTTAATTTAGGTCAATGGAGAGATCAGCTGCATTTCAAAGATCATCTGTTCCTTATATATGTCTAGAAATAGTCAAAGATACTTTTAGGATAATATTTTGGTGGTACCTAAATATACACAAATGAATGATTTTTAACCCTTCCCAAGAGATGGGTTCTGTTTAAACCACCAACTAATGGAGCTTCAGTTCTATAAGCCTGTCGAGATCTCAGTCCTGCTTCCACTGGACCTGCTGGACACATTCATCATTCATTATAAGGAGAATAGGGTCTCAAGGAACATAGGACAAATTTGAAATAATTTTTTTTAAGGGTATATAAATTTTATAGGTAGGTTTTCAACTTTTCCACTAAGACTCTTTTTTTTTTTTGTTTTATCCATATGTATTTAAGTAACTGAAGTTATTCTAGATGTTAACACTGCAAAGATGTCAGTAAGTGATTAGTCTGTATTAGCAAAGAATAAATTTACTTCTGTTTTTTTGCCTTTACAATATAAAGAGAAGTTCTTTATATTCAGCTCATATGAAGTACTGTGAGTCCATCAGCATTAAATTTTGACTTGAGCTTACTGCGTTAGGCCCGTAAAGAAGACATTTTTAAGTGGTTTGAAGTTAGGCTTGGTTTTGGTTACTTAATTCAGGAAGAGAGACTGCTTGAACTGATAGATTAGGTTTTTAACTGTTCTGGCTAGAGAAGAAAGAAAAACAAAATATTAAGGGAAGAGGAAGGAGCTCTTCTGTGTAAATTTTGGCTTAAGTCCCATTCATACTGTTAACATACCAGGTAAAGGATAGGCTTAGTAGGTAGCATTGGTGCAGCCTGTGTCTAAGTCCCGCTTGTTGGCTCAGATTTGGCACCAGGGTGGACAGGCAAATGCTGGTTTTGGCTTTGAAGTCATTCTGCTCTGGGGAGCCAGGAGTGGCAGAGGGAGTGAAATGCCTTTGATAGCTCCTCAGGGAGATGCATGGTGGATGGAGCACTTAGGGTTTGGTCATGGAGCCAGCCTGCTGCTTTAGCTAAGTGCGACTGGTTGCCTTTGGCCAGAATAGAATCATAGAATCGTGGAATCATTAAGGTTGGAAACAACCTCAAGGATCATTTGTAGCAAATGTGTTTGGTACATTTTTCCCTCTTCGCTATGGGTAAAGAGTCAATTTTTGACTATGGAGAGATGTGGCTGTGTGTGGCATGAACCTCGCTCTGGTCAGCCCCCCTTCAGATTCCCCTTCAGAGAAAGCAGGAGTTCAGCCTGACCGAAACCCTCAGCTCCCTTCTTTCAATGTGCTGCCAAAGTGGTGGGGCGCCGCATGGTGGGAGCAGCAGGGTGTGTGGCTGGGAGGGGTCCAGCACCCAGGTGCTGCCTGTTCTGGTTCACAGTGTGCAGAGGTGAGGGCAGGGCTGTGCAGAGGCCAGCCTGGGCAGTGATGGGAGCCATGCTGAGGAGCTGCCTGCTGGAGTAGGTACTGAGCTAGTACAGTTTTTTTCCATTGGTAACAGCTGGCGTATGAGATTTATACCCACCCCCAAACCAGAATGTGTTTTATTTGGGTTTAGGACCTAGATTTATATATATATATA